CCCCCCCGTACCCGCAGTCCTCCAGCCCCCCACGATACTGGCGACTCAAAGCCCTACAGCACTAGGGCTCAGCTCCACACCTCTTGCTTTCCACTGGGGTGGGGATTTTTACAGGGTCTGACCCCCCCACCCGGCTGCCAGAGGTGGTGGGGACCCCCCCACCCTGCCCAGATGTAGGCTGCCACTCCCTGTACAGCTCTGGGACCACTTTTCTCTTCACAGCGTCTCAGGGGCAAGGAAAGGGGGGTGGTAAAGCTGGCTCTGGCTGTCCCTCTGCCCCAGTAGTATCAGGGTGACAAAGGGGAAGGGAAAGAAATTTCGGATCTAATCCAGGCTTGGGTGCAGAGTGGGCCGGTCTCCCACACCTGGGGTGTGTCTAGACCACATGGCTCCGTCGACAGAGCCATGTAAAGTAGTTTACCCGACATAGTCAAAGAAGCGAGGATTTAAATAATCCCCGCTTCGTTCAAATAAAAACGGCCGCCGCGCTGTGCCGACAATCAGCTGATCCGGCCCAGGGCGACCGTCTAGACATGGATCGGTCTCGACAAGGGAAGCCTTTGTCGACTGCTCCTGTTAACCCTGGTGCTCCATGGCACGCCCACCTCTTGAATAGCGTGTGCAGACGGGGTCGTCACACAAAGCACGCGGCCGGGGTTGGAACGGCGGCTGTGTCAGGAGAGGTTAACGAGACGGGGACTTTTCCACTTCGAAAAGAGGAGAGCGAGGGGGGTAGGATGGAGGTCTATACAATCATGACAGGAGTGGAGAAAGTGAGAAAAAGTTAGTTCCTTGTTCCCATAATGCCGGGGTGGGGAACCTCAGACCTGGCCCTGGCCCCCAACGCTCAGACCCCACCCCAGCATTGGGGAGCCTGTGCTGATGCTCCAGCCCCCCTGCTGCCCCACTGCAGGGCTGGAGCTCACAAAATCTAGGCTGGCCCCCCATGGCTCTTGTTTGTGTGTTGCCCCTGATGGATTTTTCTGTGGGTCAGCGGCCCCTGACCCAAAAAAGCTCCGCCCCTGCCGTAACACAAGAACTAAGGGGGTCACCAAACAAAATGAAGAGGCCGCAGGTGTATAATGCACAAAAGGAAGTATTTCTTCACGCAGTGCGCAGTCAACCTGTGGAACTCCTCGCCAGAGGATGTGGGGAAGGCCAGGACTTTAACAGGGTTCCAAAAAGAAGTAGATACATCCATGGAGGATAGATCCATCAATACTTACTAGCCAGGGTGGGTAGGAATGGTGTCCCTGGCCTCTGTTTGTCTGGAAATGGGTGACAGAAGAGGGATCACATGATTGGTTCCCTGTTGTGTTCCCTCCCTCTGGGGCACCTGGCATTGGCCACTGTGGGCAGACAGGACACTGGGCTGGATGGGCCTTTGGTCTGACCTGGTCTGGCCGCTCTGATGCTCCCCAGCCTTGGCCCCGCTTCCCCTGGGGCTTGGCTCAAGTCCTCCCCCTCCAGGTCTGCACAAGGGCCCTCTCTCCCAGAAAGATGGGGCCTGCCGGCTCATCCCTCTGGGAGGCAGCAGGGAGCAAAAAAAAACCCGCTCGGCCTGGGGCCAGGCCAGGGCTCAGGCCCACCCTGGTCAGAGCACAGCGTGATGCCGGGTGGGACGAGGAGCTGACAGCAGCCCCTGCACAAACCCCTCACCCCCAAGCCAAAAGCGTGCCCCCCCCTTTAATGTGCATTCCTTGTACACAGGCCGGCTGATGCAGGCGCCTGGTGTGTGGGCCGGAAACTGCAGCCCATGCAACCAATTTTAAGTTCTGAGGGCCGCCCCGGGAGTGTGGGAGAGAGTGGGGTGCAGTGGTTAGAGCAGGCACATGGGGCCAGGCTTCTGGCTCTGTTCTTGGCTTTGATGAGTCTGTTGATCTGCCTGCACCTCCATTTCTGCATCGATACGAGCAGCGCGACGTGTCCTGCCTCCCCCCGAGCGGCAGGGGAGTGTTGAGTCTGTGTCTGACCACCCGGGTCTGGGGCCCTGTCGCTGAGCCTGCCTGTGCATTGCCACGCCTGCTCCTGTGCGGTGTGCGCGCACCGGGAGGTCAGGCCCTGGGTCTCGTGGCTGCAGGGGGATCAGGTGACCAGTGGGGGGGCTAAGGTGGCTCCCAGGCTGTCCTGGGCCCGCAGACTGTGCTGGGCCCCAGAAGTGGCTGCAGCAGGCCGGGCTCCTAGGTGGGAGCAGGGGGAACTCACAGGGCTCTGTGCATGGCCCCTGCACTCCCATTGGCTGGGAACCTTGTGCTGGTTGCTTCTGGGGTGCCAGGAGAGACAGGAAGCTGCCTTTGCACCGTCACTGCACTGTAGACCAGAAAACACGTAAGCTCCTCTGCCCCAGACCCAATCTTCCCCAAAGCTGGAGCCTCCTCCTACACTCCAAAGTTTTCATCCGCAGCCCTGCCCCGGAGCCCACACACTAGTCAAATGATGTTGGGTCGTGGGCATCAACAATTTTCTTCAACTGGGTCATGAGAAAAGAAGTTTGAAAATCACTGCTCTGAGTCTATCTTGGGTAGTCATTTGCACCAGCATAATACTTGTATAAAATGCTTCCATTCTTTCTTAGGAGCATCTTACACTCACTTCGGACTGGTGCAAAGTGCATGGCAGCAAAGAATAGGAAAACACAGATGCTTACACTCACGCACGTATCATGCCTTTGATGGGGAAGGGCCAGAAAACGGTGTGCAGCATTCCCAGTTGCAAGGGTGAATTAGGCAAGGGGAAGAGGGCAATAACACTCCAAACCCAGTAAGATCCAAACAGCAGGCCTCCTGGATTACATTTATTTTCCACTCGCTCTGTCTGCACCAAACCTTTTGTCTTTGACAGCAGGAAGCCGAGGGAGGAGGAGGAAGGGATAAAGAAAGGTTAATTTAGAAGACCGTAAGTGGAGCACCTTTATATTCTGCTTCCAGATCCACTAAGATTTCAGATGCAGAAGAGAGCTTCTGTTCCTCAGCTCTGCATTCTTTCCTGAACGCCGAATGTAGAGAAGAGGCCTCTGTCAGGTGGGAGGGGAATGAATGCTGCTGCAATAGAGCATTTCTCTGCCCAACAAAACCTGGCTCACTTTTGTGGAAACTCAGCTATGTTCACACTCTGTGACACTTTCCTTGAGGTGTGGTTTGGCCCAGTTGTTCTGTCTATTCTTCGAAGAGGGCCCTAGGAGAAACATGGCACTTTTCAAAGAAGTCAAGTCAGAGGTCATCATTGGCTTGGCTTGACACTCTCACATGTATTTTAGACCAGGAACTAGAATGATTTTCTCTAATGTAAAAGGTGAAAAATTCAGCAAAGTTTTAGAGCTCTCACTTATTCAAGATCTAAAGATAACTTCCTCCTTTCATTAATTCATTAACAAAACCACAAACGGTATTTATATCGTGTTACTTCACGGCTAGTGCATTGCAGCAGTTATGGCAGAAAAGTATCCAGCAATGTAATTATTGCAGCAAACTTGCTGCCCTGATCACTTCTGACATCCATTCCATTCAAGAGGAAAAGTGTCTCCATGTGGAAATCAATGATTAAGACAAAGTTGCGTATTGGGTAGAACAACTCAGATGTTCAATTCCTGGGTCTGCTGCTGCCTTGATATGTGACTTCAAGCTAGTCATGTCACCTCTTCGTGTCTCAGTTTTCTCATTTGTCAGATGGACATACTGGTACTTCAGTTGTAATGCACCTTTAGATCTACAGGCAGTCCCCGGGTTACGTACAAGATAGGGACTGTAGGTTTGTTCTTAAGTTGAATCTGTATGTAAGTCGGAACTGGTATCAGCCGCTGCTGAAACTGATCAGTTTCAACAGCGGCTGAATCTGGACGCCAGTTCTGACTTACATAGGGTATGTCTACACTACCCCGCTAGTTCGAACTAGCGGGGTAATGTAGGCATACCGCACTTGCTAATGAAGCCCGGGATTTGAATTTCCCGGGCTTCATTAGCATAAGCCGGGCGCCGCCATTTTTAAATCCCGGCTGGTTCGAACCCCGTGCCGCGCGGCTACACGCGGCACGAACTAGGTAGTTCGAACTAGGCTTCCTAGTTTGAACTACCGTTACTCCTCGTGGAATGAGGAGTAACGCAGCCTCCTAACCTGGCGCTGGAACAGAGGGAGGCGCTGGGACAAGCCAGGCACGTTTCTAGCTGCGCCTGGACCGGGATGGTGGTGGGCGGGGGGAGTGTCGACGCTAGGACATTATTTCGAAATACACGATTAATACGTTCTTTCGGGAGTCGTTATTTCGAAATAATAACTCACAGCTAACTTACATAGTTCGAAATCATTTCCTAGCATTGACATCCCTGCCTCTACCCAGCAACCTCTATTTCCAGAGGTATCCTGAAATAGCTGCCCCGCATCTTAACACGCGCTGTTCCGGATGTCCCGAAAAAGCGCGTCATTTCAAAATTTGGCGCTGTGTAGACGCGCCAAATTTCCAAATAAGCTATTTCGAAAAAGAATTGAAATGAGATATGCAATTTGCGTGGCGCACATTGCGTATCTGATGTCGAGGTTAGGGTGCTGTGTAGACGCCCCCATTATTTCGAAATAGCTAGCGTTATTCGAAATAACTTAGACCGTGCCTACTCAGCAGGCAGTCCATGAGGGCAGGGGGCTGGACTCGATGACCCCTCGAGGTCCCTTCCAGTCCTAGTGTTCTAGGATTCTATGATTTTGAAATAATGTAGAAAAATTGTCAAGCTGGAGGACTTCTTACTCCAACTCCTGTAACCCTCATTGCATGAGGAGTAAGGGAAGGCGGAGGAAGAGTGCTCTGCTTCAAAATAAGTGATGAGTAGACACTCCCAATTTCCAAATAAGCTATTTTGAAATAAGCTACGCAACTGACGGAGCTCAATTTGCGTAGCTTCGTTTGAGTTAAATCCTGCTGTGTTGAGGCACCCTTATTCAAATAAGTTACGTCTAGACATTGGCAAGATTTCGGGATACCAGAAGTATCCCAAAATAGCTATTCTGAGTCTTTAAATGCACCTGTTATTTCAAAATAACACGTGCACTATTCCGACGTCCCTGTAACCCTTGTAAACAGCACCAAATTTCAAATTTCAAAATTAGATCAAAATAAGATTTTGACCTACGGGTGCAGTGTAGATGCACCGTTATTCAGGAGTTATTGATTTGAAAGAAGTTATTTCAGGAATTATTAATTCAAAATGAGTTATTTCGAGAGTTATTATTTTGAAGTAAGCTACTTTGGGTGTTATAATAATAAAATAAGAACTCCTGAAATAACTATTTTGAAATAACTCCCTAGGGTACGTCTACACTACAGAGAAGACCGAAGCTGCCGCTGTCGATCTTCCAGGGTTTGAATTAGCGGGTCCAGCGTAGATAGGCTAATTCGAACAGAGAGGGGAGCTCTGGTCCATGCTGGTAGCCCTGCTTCCACGATGAGTAAGGGAAATCGAAGGGAGAGTGTTTTCCCTTTGACTTCCTGCAGTGTGGATAGCACCCAAAGTCGAGTTAAGCGACTTTGACTTGAGTGCTGGAGTTGAGTATCTTCATTCGACTGTGTCCCGTAGTGTAGACATAGTCTCACACCAAGATGGGCAGGGCTGGAGTAGCAGGGGCTGGGGGGCAGGGCTGAGGGCTACCAGCCAAGCAGGGGGTGTGTAATAGACACATTAGAGCCAATTTCATCACCTGCTCTTGATTCAATGTGCTGTAATCAGGCGGTGTAGTGGTGTGTGGCACCTCGTGCCAGAGGCAGCAGAGAGGTGGCAGCTCCTTTCCCTTGCACGGGCCTCCCCAGCGAGGCAGGGCCAGCACAGGGCTGCACGGCCATGGGATTCGGTCGCCACTGCGGGGCACGGGTCGGGCGCTAGCTGGGATACCGTGCGCTCGGGGACAGCCTCGCTCGCTGCCAGCGCAACCGCAGAATAAAAAGGAACGTGGGGTGTTGGCACCCCCTGCAGGCTGGGCTGGGAGCTACCCCACAAGGGGACTCATCAGCTGATGGGAGCCGCTCTGCGTGTGTGACTCACAAGGATGCCACGGGGCTCTGTCTGTGTGGCCCTCTGGCGACTCTTAAACCAAGCCAGAGGGAGAGCGGTGCCCATCGGCTGTGCCCAGCTCACAGTCGTAAGGCACTTTACAAATATCCATCTGTCTCCATCCATCCATCCATCCATCCATCATCCATCCATCCATCCATGGCCATGTCTAGCTTCTGATCCATCCATCGGCATACACCCCCTCGACGTATGTATGTATGTATCAATCCATCCATCCATCCATCCATCCATCCATCCATCCCCATATACCTTATCTAGCTATCTGTCTGTCTGTCTGCCTATCTATCCCCATACACTCTGTCTATCTATCTGTCTATCTATCTATCCCAGGGCCGACTTCTCCATTAGGCACAGTGCCTAGGGCCCACGAAAGTCATAATGTGGCTCTGATCTATCTATCTATCTATCTATCTATCTATCTATCTATCTATCTATCTATCTATCTATCTATCTATCTATCTATCTATCTATCTATCTATCTATCTATCTATCTATCTATCTATCTATCTATCTATCTATCTATCTATCTATCTATCTATCTATCTATCTATCTATCTATCTATCTATCTATCTATCTATCTATCTATCTATCTATCTATCTATCTATCTATCTATCTATCTATCTATCTATCTATCTATCTATCTATCTATCTATCTATCTATCTATCTATCTATCTATCTATCTATCTATCTATCTATCTATCTATCTATCTATCTATCTATCTATCTATCTATCTATCTATCTATCTATCTATCTATCTATCTATCTATCTATCTATCTATCTATCTATCTATCTATCTATCTATCTATCTATCTATCTATCTATCTATCTATCTATCTATCTATCTATCTATCTATCTATCTATCTATCTATCTATCTATCTATCTATCTATCTATCTATCTATCTATCTATCTATCTATCTATCTATCTATCTATCTATCTATCTATCTATCTATCTATCTATCTATCTATCTATCTATCTATCTATCTATCTATCTATCTATCTATCTATCTATCTATCTATCTATCTATCTATCTATCTATCTATCTATCTATCTATCTATCTATCTATCTATCTATCTATCTATCTATCTATCTATCTATCTATCTATCTATCTATCTATCTATCTATCTATCTAGGCCAGTCTCTGCACTGAGCGTGTTGGCTGGGGGCTGGTTCTGCTCTGGCCTTGACTGAGGCCCTGTGGGCAGCGGGGGAGTTTTATGTCGCTGTCCAACATCTCTTTGCCCGCGGGCCAGTCAATGGTGCTTCCACCTGCTTTGCTCTTCGACGCGGCGAAGGCCCCGGGGGCTCTGAGTCAGGCCTGGGGGCTGCTGGTCCCTCTCGGGGCATCAGACCTCTGAGCCAGCCCAGCCAGCCAGGGTGTTTCTCTCTCTCTGCTAGACGCTGCCCATGTGCCAAGTAGCCTCCCTGCTGTTCTTTGCTGCCGTCCTCGCCTCCCGCCCCGGGCTCAGCGAGAGGGGGCGCAAGAAGGTCGTCCACGTGTCAGGTGAGTGAGGGGCAGGCTCGCCCCCCTCCCAGCACTTCAGCCCCCCCCTTTGCATGCGAAGGAAGTCTCAAGCATTTCCACCCCAAGGGGATGAGCCCTCAGGGGGAGGAGAACAAAAAACGACCCACGCTGGGCTGCGAAGGGATGGTTCCAACCCGGAGATATGGGGAGTTGTTGCCCTGAGGCACCGAGTGGGGAAACTGAGGCACAGGGCAGCGTCACACAGTTATTCAGTGGCAGAGCTGGGAACACAACCCTGGGAACAGCCCTTATTCCAAAATAACTGTGCTGTGTAGACACACCCCTACACAACAGGCCAGCTGAGGTCTTTGGGGATTGCTTGGCTATAGGCACTAGCCTCACTTTATAGGACGGTTGGGTTTAAAAGGGTTCATATCTGTACACAGGACATTAGAAGAATATTACCAACCCAGCAAGTACGTTGGGCAGTGCTGCAAGGAGCAGTTGCAGTGACTTTTTGTGCTGCAATTTCCTTTGTTTTCTACATCAGACAACACAACCCCAATGATAACAAACACAAGTTACACAAGAAGCACAAATTAAAAGGAACTAAAATGGTCAAAATCAAAACGAAATGTTTCGACTGACCAAAAATGAATTTTTTTAACATTTCGTTTCATGCAAAAATTCAAAATGTTGGCTTTTGGTCCCAATTTGAGCTGAATTTTTAATTTATTTTTAATCTCAACGTTTTTCATGAAATGGAAACCCATTTCCAGCCATCTTTGGTTGTGAGCATTTCCTAAAAGTATTATAGATAGTTATAAACTATGGTTCCACTAATTTACTACTCCGTTGGACTCCAAGAAAATCACGTAACCATATATTAAAGCATCTACTGCTCTGCTATTAACCTTGGATACCAGTGTTCCCTGTAAGCTGGGCGCTTGTGTAGTTCTAATGGTGGTGCACGTTCACACATGCCTTGGTGCATATACACAAATTTATTCTGCACATGGATGGAAAAAATCTGCACATGGATGAGAAAGATTAGAAGTGTTGTTAACATGCCCGTCACCCCGGCTCTGCTGTGTGAGAGGTTCCACCGCTCGGAGCAAGCATCTTTCTGGTGCATTATGATAGGGATGCTGCTCTGGCAACAGGATTCATGCCTCCAGCAATCAATGCCTTTGTTCAGCTTGTGAGCCGGGTCCACGCTTGCTCCCCCGTGCCCTGATTTTTTTATTGTGTCACATCTCGTTATGGATCCTTCTTATTCTTCATTGGGCCTTTTCCTTTATGCTGCCAGGTCCAGAAGATTTAATAAACTCCCAACCCCATCCCCTATAGGGCATCATCAGGATTTGAACCAAGTACCTGGCCACATACCTCTACCTCCTGAGCTAAAGGAGTAACTCCATCAGCAGCTACTAGTAGTAGGCTGTTATACTACTGTAGATGAACTACAAGAGGCCTCAGCAAAGACTGGGCCACTATGGGTGTCTACACTGCACTCTAACCTCGAAATAAGATGTGCAATTTGCACTACACAAATTGCGTATCTTATTTTGATTTTATTTCGAAATAGGCTATTTCGAAATTTGGCACTGTATAGACGCACTATTTCAAGCATCCCTTAATCCTCGTGCAAGGGATAGTGAAATAGTGCATCCGTTATTTCGAAAAATATTTCAAAATAACGGGCACATTCCTTGGTCACTAGGAGATATCCCAAAATAGCTGCACAGTGTAGACGTACCCTAAGGTGGTCCTTGGTCACTAGGAGATATCCCGAAATAGCTGCACAGTGTAGACGTACCCTAAGGTGGTGGCGACTGGGCAATATTCCCTCTAATTTTTTCCATCCATGTGTGGAATACATTTTGTTCTGTGCACCGAGGCACAAGCAGATGTGCACCACCAGTAGATGTGCACCACTTTCAAGGGTGGATTCCTGCTTCCACTCCCCACCCGCCACAGCATCCAGCAAGGAGGTGAACCGCTGACAGCGGACATACGCTTTACCTAAGGCGAGGTCCGTTTTCTGGCCACGTCTCTACGGGCTACCTGGCCGTGCGAGAGATGGACACACCTAACAACCTTCCCCCAGCACATGCTACTTCCTGGCATTCAAAGCTGTGAAACTCGCGCCCCCTGAACGCCCCTCAAATCTTTTCCATCCATGTGCGGATTTTTTCCCCCATGCACGTGCAGAATAAATTTTATGTGCATTGAGGCACGTGTGAATGTGCAGCACCACTAGACACACAAAGAACAAGCGGTGGGTGCGCTGCTCATCAGCAGGGCAGATTGGGCTCTCCTGCGCAGCCGGCTTACAGGGAACCCTACCCTGGATGCTAGCAGAAGAGACAAGTTCTGTATTTTCATTTCTTTGGGGAGAGGGTCCCTGTTTGGATTGAGATTTGGTGCGGTGGGGCAGGGCAGGGGGAAGTGTGTGTGGGGGTCCCAAACCCACCTGGAGCCTTCCTTTGTGTCTGTGCGCAGAGGATGAGAGCGGGGCCGTGATCGTCCAGACGGCACCCGGGAAGGTGGTCACCCACCGGGGCGGGACCATCATTCTCCCCTGCCGGTACCACTACGACGTGTCGGCCCACGACCCGGAGGAGATCCGCCTCAAGTGGACCAAAGTGATGGAGCCGATGGCTTTCGCGGACGTCTTCGTGGCCATGGGGAAGGAGCGCCGAGCCTTCGGGAGCTACCGGGGGCGCACGGCGCTGCAGGAGGACGGGACCGGAGACGCCTCCCTCATCATCCGCAACGTCACCCTGCAGGATTACGGGCGCTACGAGTGCGAGGTCACCAATGAGCTGGAGGATGACACGGGCATGGTGCGGCTGGAGCTGGAAGGTAAAGGAAACCCGTGGCCATGGGGAAGGAGCGCCGAGCCTTCGGGAGCTACCGGGGGCGCACGGCGCTGCAGGAGGACGGGACCGGAGACGCCTCCCTCATCATCCGCAACGTCACCCTGCAGGATTACGGGCGCTACGAGTGCGAGGTCACCAATGAGCTGGAGGATGACACGGGCATGGTGCGGCTGGAGCTGGAAGGTAAAGGAAACCCCGGAGACGCTCGCGGCGCCGCAGGCCCTAGGGTCCTGCCTGCCCCAGGCTGCTCGGCACGCCTGGTGGCGTGGGCGCAGGTTTGCACGCACGCGGCTTAGCTCTCCACTGTGGGCTCACCCCTCCCGCCTGCAGCAGCTCTGAGCAGCCGGGCCCGGCGCCTGTACGGAGCCAAAGCGCCTGGACCTGCCCACGTAGGCCAGGTGGACACTACCACTTCTGACGAGGAGTCCTGTGGCCCGGTCCGAGGATATGAAAAGCCTGGAGCTGCCTGCCCCGGCCCCTTTAAATTGCTTCCCCACATGGTGGGCTCCAAGCAGCACAGCAGCCCCGCCCCTTTCATCCTCCTGGAGCATGGAGCGTGGAGCATGGAGCATTACCCCCCTCCCTTGCCCGAGGCTGATGGCCCCCTGCCTCTGGCACTTTAAAGACTCACAAATTGATTAGGCCTGTAAAGCTTTTGTGTGCAGGCCCAGCTGGGGAAGGCGAGGCCCAGCCCCGCCCCTTCTGCCTGAGGCCCCGCCCCTGGAGCCAATCCCCTGCCATCCCCAGCCTGATCCTTCCTGGCCACCTGCAGAGATAGGAGTGTGGCATTGTTCTGTGTAGGGCAAGCGCAGGGCAGATGTGTCCTGTTCTCAGCATTTGGTCGGGGGAAAACTGCTTTTTTCCTAGGGAGCATCCTGGGGATGCTATCCAAACCCCTGGAAGTGGCCAATAGGAGCTGAGACCTTGTGCGGTGGGCGGGGCCAGCACGTGAAGCCCCGCCCCCGCACAGCGCAGAGTGGCACATGGAGCAGCCAGCTGCTTGGAGCCGTGTGGGGCTGTTCCCAGTGGGTGGAGCGCGTGGGCCGAATTCAGAGGCTTTTTGAGCGGGGTCCACCCCCCCAGCCGCCACTTTGATGCAAATGTTGCCCTAAGTTGGTGTTTTATCCCAGCAGAGCTGCCCACTCCAACCCTCCATCACAAGCAGCCCAGCCCTTGGGTTTCTTTCTGGGTCTTTTCCTCAACACCCAAGTCTCCGGCTACCTGTGCCCTGCAGCGGTTACATGGCAGAGCCGCATCGGCACTTGTAGGGGAGACTGGAGAACTTTCCCCATTGGCTTCACACGGCTTCCACGAGCGGTGGTAGCATGTCGGGGGAGAAACCCTCCTGCCAACAGGGCGTTGCCTGTCCCAGCACTTGGGTCGGCGTGACTCTCCTCGCTCTGGGTGTGGATTAATCCCACCTTGAGTGACGTTAGGTGGAGCACAGTGACCTATTGGGCAGACACATCCCACTGTTGTGTCCTGAGTGGAGATACGTGCACAGTCGACCTGTGGAACTCCTCGCCAGAGGATGCTGTAAAAACCAGGACTTTAACAGGGTTCAAAAAAGAGTGAGATAAAGTCATGGAGGTTAGGTCCATCAATACTTATTAGCCCGGATGGATAAGAGCAGCGTCTCTAGCCTCTGTTTGTCTGGGAATCGGTGACAGGGGAGAGAATCGCTTGATGATTCCCTGTTCTGTTGCCTCCCTCTGGGGCACCTGGCATTGGCCGCTGTGGGCAGACAGGACAGTGGGCTAGATGGGTCTTTGGCCTGACCCAGTCTGACCGTTCTGATGTTCTTGTATCTACAGGCCAGATCAGAGACTGCATCAGCCTTTTGCAGCACCCTCTGTTCTCAATTCATTAGTCCTCCCACCAGCCCGGAGAGGGAGGAGTCACCCTCCCTTGGCAGCCAGCCGGCAAGATCACTGACTTCTCCAAGGTCAGGGAGAAGGACACAGCCAAGAGTCCTGACTTCCTGTTTGCTCTAACTGCTAGGTTGCACTGCCCTCCGGGAGCCAGCAATAGAACCCAAGGGGCCCGACCCCCTTCTGCCCTGGCCGTGCTGTAGACTGTCTCATGCTTGCTTTGCTTTCCCCTTGGCTCATCCAGGTAGCGTCAGGCTGGCAAATCCTCCCCATCGGTTCCTTGCCAAGAACTGCCTTAGCACCACTGGGTAATGATGCCCCGGAGAAGCAGGAAGGGGGACCCTAGAGGAGGTGATGCCTGGCCCGGGTGCTCCAGTACCTCTTGCCATTTTGTCCCCAGGATCGGGGCCGGGTGATAGGAATGAGTGGGGGGAGGGAGGGCAGCACGCAACGACTGGAGAGATGCCTTTATCCATCAGCCGGCATCTCACTCGGCAGCCTGGCAGAGCTCGGGCACCGGCTCCAGGCAAGGTGGCGGAGGCGCCACTCACTTGGCACGGCGGAGAGGCGCATCCATCCCTCCCCGCCGCGGCGCCGGGAGGCAGCCGGGCGGGGGTCACTTGCAGCTCACCCTGTCTTACTTGCTTTTCCAAAGCAAGCGTGACGTGCCCACGCGGGAGAACAACCCAGCAGGTGCCGGGGCAGATCAGCCTTGTTCCCCGGGGACAGCAGCCCCGCGGTGGGTGTCGGCCAGGATTAGACTCACGCTTTGGATGAACGTTCAGATGGCTCCTGTGTTAGACACGGGGGCAGGTCTCCCCGGGGGTTGGGGCAGAGTTAAGGGGACAGAGGGGTCCTGGGAGGAGAAGCCAGCCAGGGACTACAACAGAGGCCTGGGAGCCAGGCCTCCTGAGTCCTAGATCCAGATGCG